ACCATTTTGTTGTGGAGTAAATGCACAGCTTTTCTGATGTAAAATACCTAAGATAGAAAATGATGTACTACACTCATGATTAACAAACTCAGTGCCATTGTTAGTTCTGACTATTCATACTTTGGTTTGAAATGAGTACACTACTAGAAATATGGCTACAAAAGGCACTAAAAAAGGCCTTAATACATACACTATTAAGACAGTGTAACTTTGTGTGGCACTTTAGAGAAGTGCCTTTAAATTCAATGTGATAATAGCTTTAGTGTAACTATAGATAGTCTTTAAAGGCATCTACCAAATGTTATAACAAATAACGTTTGAAGGAACTTCATATTATACAAAGATATTTTTTAGTGCCTTAACAAATCATCTATTGTCACTTACTAAAGTAATGACATTTGAAGTGTCTTAACAACTTATCTATCATCTCATTTAATATTAATTCTGCCATTAATTCTAAATATAAACTTTTACTCAAATTATGTTATTCAAAAATACTTCCAAAAAACAAATAAAACATTTGAATAAATAAAATTTTCATTATATTAATAATAGTAAAATAAAGTACAACCCAAACGTTATCATCACTAACAAAAGGGGAAAGGAAAAATAAATCCTACTAATAATCTATATATTGTTTAAACAATCTCCCAAACTAGAACAACACATGCTACCATGCCAAAATAGAGACTGCAATTTTTCCCTGTGTTTCATCTTCTCTTCACTTAACTTCTTAATTATTTTCCCATAGGTCCCATGTGAGGATTTTGAAGATTGTTTAGTCTTTCAGGAACCCCTTGTGCTTCTCTCTGTTTGCTTCTCTATGTTGAATGTAAGACCTCCAAAAATTTTTAAATCCATTTAAAATAACATGTGACATTCAAGAAACAAAATTTAAGAATATATGATATCTTAAAATTGACATCAAATGAATTCGTAATCTAAATCAAAATGAAGGCTAAATGAATAAATTTTTTGACTTACGAAAATTTGAAAGAATGTCATTTGTGGTTGTGGAAGCACTCATCACATCTTCAATGAATTGCAACACATAAAATATTTGTGCGAAACATTCATTAGGCAAAAGAACCTAACATACTGCAAAATTATGCAAAAGAAAACAGTTAGTGAACAATCTTTGGAATTGAATTTCTAAAAATATTTGAATTATGAAAGACACTCTTACAGCTCAATCAGCCTTCTCTACAGGGGTGTTCTGTTCTTCCACCTTGCTTTTATTGACAGCTTCTTCCTCATCAACTGTTGGTTCTACAGTTTGACTCAATTTTTCTCCTTTTTCTGGGATAGCTACAGCTGGTCTTGGCAATTGCTTCCAACTTTTGAGTGTAATTGCCTTAGCTTCCTCTGTTTCCATGGAGTCCTGTCCCCTGGTGTCTTCGGGTACCCTACTAGCTATCTAGGCTATTTGATCCTGCAAAATTCTGATGGTTTCATCAATACTAATGATGGAATATTTTACCTCAATCCAGTCCTCCTCCTTGACTATGAATGGTTGATTCTGAAATCCAGATGGTTGAGCTGGTCTTTGATAGCTTGATTGCTGATTAGTCCAGTTGTTGCTCTGCTGAGGCATCTAATTGTTGTAATTGTTGAATCCTCCTCTGTCATTTTCTTGTCTCACGAACTGAACTTCTTCCAATGTGGCTTGACAAGTGGAGCTGTTGTGAGATCCTGCGCAAATCTCACAGACATCAGCTTTTGGCTTGTTGCTGTCAGCTCTGAACTTGGTTATTTCATTGCTGATGGTTGCCACTTGGGCTTACAAGTGACTTGTAGGATCGAGCTCCAACACTCCTGCTTTCTTAGTTGTAGCTCTGGGTTGCTTCTGCCATCTGAAATGATTAGCACACATGTTTTCCAATAGCTGGATTGCTTCTTCTACAGGTTTCATCATAATGCTCCTCCAGAAGATGAATCAAGTGATTCTCTGGAAGCTTGCTGCCACCTATTATAGAAAAACCACAACTGCATTGGCTTGTCTACATCATGTTGAGGATATTTCATCATCAATTCCTTGAATTTCTCCGAAGCCTTATAAAGAGTCTCTGTTCCATGCTGTTGAAAATTTATGATGGCTGATCTTAAATCAGCAGCTTTGACATGTGGGAAAAACATGGTGAGGAACGCCTGTCTAAGTCCATTCCAGGAGTTGATTAAATTGTTGGGTAGAGTGTCCAACCATTTTGTGGCTAAGTCCTGCAATGTGAATGGAAACAGTCTCAAGAATACCGTATCTTTGGATAAACCTTGAATTTGGAAGGTGCTGCACAATCTCAAGAATTTCCTGATGTGCTTGTTGGGATCTTCACTAGGCAGTCCATAGAAATGACAAGCAGCTTGCACCCATTGAATAATTTGAGTTTTGAGCTCAAAGTTCTCTGCTGCAACATCATTGTACATAAGTGAGAGTCTGAACTTCCTCCCTTTGGGGTACAAAATAATCTTTCAGCAGTCTGGGTTGAACTGGTTGTAACTCTCTATCCTGAGGTTGATCAGCTGCTGCTACCTCTGCCAGCTTCTCTGTTTCGCAAGGCTTTGGATCTCCTTGCCGTGATTTCAATTTCTGGGTCAAAACTTAGCTCTGCTGACGGATTGCTTCTAATCATAAACCAGTGATCAAAACACGAAAGTAATAATAGCAAGATTTTTTATTTGATTGAGTGAATTTGAGTAAAAGCAGAAAACTAAAAAGAACAAAAACAGAGCACAATAATCAAATTTCAAGGATTTTTAACGGCATCCCCAGCAACGCTGCCAGTTTTGGTGGTTGAAATGGACTGTCATTGATTTCACCCCCAAGAGAATATTTATAAAACATACTTAAAACTATTAGTTAGTGGTAAGCGGGGTCGTTACACAAAGATGGCAGTCAACCACTCAAAATCTGATTAAAGTGCAAGAAAAGAAAAGTGAATGTGTTGAACAGATTTGTCACTAGGGAGGGTGAGAATAGTAACTTGACAGAGTGAAAAGATAGAAGGGTCAATCACCTTCTTGCCTTTATGATCCAGTTTTGATTCAAGTAATCCTGTAGTGTATGATTTATTATTTGATCGAACACATGTATTCTTTACACTCCCTCTCAGATAGAGTAAAGAGTCCTAGATTACTAAATTATCTAATTTTCAGTCATATTATTAAGATTAGTCTAAGCCATTGAGTTCTTAAGCCCTATTGACCACCTATGTCAATCACCTAACTCTCGTTGATGATTGAAACCAAATGGTAGATTTCCTCCTTTGTCATAGACTAATTTAAGCCGTTCAAAGTTATGTTTGCCCTCTCAGATCTCCATGCACGCACATTTAACTAAGTGGCCAGTTTAATCAAAAGGTTAATTAAAGCACTTAAACTAGAAACAATGCCTCATCAAGTTAAACTGAATTAAAACATTCACATAAAGATAGTAGGGATTGAACCCTTAACTAAGTTAGCTACTCATGTTTATTGAGTTAAACATGAGAGCAACAAAGTACAAACGATAAGACATAATTCAAGATCAAAAGGTTAGAGGATAGAAGGGAAAGATAGTAGCAGGGGCAGCTACTGTCTGCTCACTTTGGCGAGTGGCGTTCACCACTTGACAGAGTGATAGTCTGCACTCTTGTTACTGCTACTATCCTGTTTCTAACCAACTAACTAACTACCTAACTACTACTTTTATAACTGATTCTAACTACCCAGTCTCTCCTCTTTTCTAACTGCTATTGGCTGACTAGTTATAGAGATTTGGAGAGACTTGGATTGGTGCAGTTCTAGCCTTCCTTGCAGCAGATTAGAGGAGGGAGCAAGTTGCAGCAGCTGAAGGTATTTGGTTATTCAGCAACTTGCCAAATTCTGTCTTCTCTAGTCAGCTCCTACTTTCTTCAGCCGCAATCACCCACCTTCTGCTCATCATTACTTCTTCTCCTTAGTCTTCTTCTTCGGCACATTCTCACCATTTGCCGCCCCAGATCTCTATTTCTTCTTTCTTTAATCCTCACAGCTCAATTTGCAGCAGTCGGCAAGTATCATCAGTAGTATCCTTCCTTCCATCATTGTGTTTCCAGCCCCCAATTCAGCCTCAATCTTCTGCCATTTTCTTCCTTGTTTCCTGGGCCACTTGCTATACCATTGCTCACCCTTTTGCAGCATCTAATCCATCAACTCAGCAGCAACATCAGTTGGTAAGTAGCGGAGTTGTGGCTGCTGTTCTTCACATATTGTCCTTCTTTCTCTTCTTCCACTTGCAACAACAACAACTTGCAGTGATGGCAAAACAATTTCCTTTCTTAGGCACCAAGATTTCACCTCGTAGCTCTTCCTTGATTGACAGCAGCAACAATTACTGCAGCAGCAACTTCTACTGCTCAATTGAGTGTGCTGCTGCAGATTCTTCCCAATTGTGATCATCTGCTGCTATTCTTCCTTCTCAGCAAGGATTTCTCCACTTGCTTCAGCTCTGATCGACCCTCCAGCAGCCTGAATTCCAGCAGCTTCTAATTCAGTCCAGAATGATGCTCTTTTATGTAATTTGGCCCTCATTTATGCTGATTTTTCACATTGGCCCCTTGATTACCCTGAAATACAAAATCAACCAAAAGTAAACTAAGTTTAATTAATTGACACCTAATTCTAAGTAAAGATGAGTAGAAATTGTCTGCTAAAAGTGGATATATTTTACTGTCATCAAATAAATACAGTATAACTTCATTAAATTAATAATTTTTCTCTCTTTTCTTTTAATGGAATCGAATCTTATACGACATTCATACTACACTTATATAAAAAGTACAAAAATTATAAAATGATATTGTGTTTCTGATTAGAAAGATGCTTTAAACTCACTCCCTGCATTAAATTAAATAGAAACTACATAACGTTCAAAAGCCCAATACAGTATATTTTTCCAGAATACACCATGTTAAATCATCTCAAGGATAAAGCTCTTCCAATCTATCTAAAAATATGTTTCCACTTTCCAAGTTTCGTCTGGCAATATGAAGGCAGTAGTCAAAGAGACTCCGAATTTGACTACACCAACAGAAGTAACAAGTATTGGGCATAGCAGTGAACAGCAGCAAGGCGAAGTTGTGCTACTGTGGCGAGATCCGATTGCTAAGCGCCAATTGCAATGGCCAGAGATGAAAGAACGAGACGAGATGCAAGGAGTGAGGGCTAAGACTGATAAAAATAAATTCAAAGCACCCTCAGGCAAATTGTGGTTCATACCGCCAAAGGAGGTGGCTGGACAGAACATAGCCCAGATGCAGATGGAGGATGTTCAAAGGGAAGCGGAATACTGGGAATCTTCCATTGCATGTTTCGTACTGGGTGCTCGTCCACCAATAGGTGTAATGGAAAGATACTTCCACAAGCTCTGGGGAAACCTAGGCATTGATAAGGTAATTCTCCTGCCTAGTGGGCATTTTGTTGTTAGATTTACAACCTTGAATGCTAGAGATACAGTGCTAAATGTAAATTTCTATCACTTTGGGTCAAAGCCATTAATAGTGAAGCCTTGGGATGTAGAAAAAGGGATCAATTATAATGATGTTGAATATGTTCCTATATGGATACGTTTATATGGATTGGAAGTTAAGTTCTAGAATCTTAATTCCCTTAGCAGATTGGTAAGTGCAATTGGAACTCCAATTTTAGCAAATGATTATACTGTTAGAAAGGAGAGAGTTCAGTTTGCTAGGGTTCTGGTTGAAGTGAAAATAGCTGCTGCTGTTCCTGATAAATTGGTTTTTGAGGATGAGAAAGGGAATGTGAAGTTTCAGAAAATAGTATATGAATGGCTCCCCACCAAATGTGATCACTGTTCGGAATACGCCCACCTCACTGATAAGTGCAGACTTAAATTGAGGAAAGAAGAAGATAATCCCAAACAACCAGTGGAAATTTGGAAAAAAGTGGAAAGGAAGGATGAAGGACGAAATAACGCTGCTAAGACCAAAGCAACTGATGATAACCAACGGAATCCAATTGTGAGAAGAAAAGATCAGTCCTCAAGTGAGATGAGCACCGTCAACAGTAATGGGCAGCCTCCAACTAGCTTTCATGAGGATGGAAACCTAGAGAAGAAAAAAGGGGTTCAGAGCGGTGAAGTTGAGATCGTGGTAACTACTGTGGAGAGTTCTATAAGCATTGGAGCAAAGGAGGATTAGTGATAGATCCTGGTGCAAGTTCCTATGAATAGCATAATCTCGTGGAATGTAAGGGGCCTCAACTCTCCCCTTAAGCAGCAAGAAATCTGCAAAAGAGTGAATGACCGGAAAAACAGTATGATATGTTTAGTGGAAACAAAGATGAATAGACAAAGAGGACAGCAATTTTTGCATAGTCGTTGGAAGGGGTGGCAGTGGTGCACTAATTACGATAGTCACAAAAGGGGAAGGATAATGATACTTTGGAACAACGATATAGAGGTACAAGTATTAAATCAGAGTTCGCAGATGATTCATGCCTTCTGCAAGACAAAGCAAGGAAACAGGCCGTTCTATTTTACAGGAATTTACGCATCAAATGAACAGGAGGACAGATCTCAGCTGTGGATGATGTTAATAGGGCTCTCGAATAGTATTGGTGAACCCTGGTTAGTGATGGGGGACTTCAATAATATCTTGAAGCCTGAGGAAAAATTAGGGGGGAAGCCTGTAGTGCTCCAGAACTTTGAAGAATTTCGATGGAGTATGGAAGAATGTGGTTTACGGGACCTAACCCAGAAAGGGAAGATGTTCACATGGTGAAACCAAAGAGTAGGAACTGAAAGGATATACGCCAAGCTAGACAGAGCAATGGTTAATGGTGAATGGATTGATCAATATGCAGAGTCTATAGCAACTGTATTGATGGAAGGAGTATCGGATCACTCACCACTTGAGGTCCAGATCAAGGTAGAAATGCAGAAGAGGAAAAGTGCTTTTAGATTTTTCAACATGTGGTGTCTATCCAAGGATTTCCAGAGAACAGTGGAAAGGAGTTGGGCAGAAAAAGTGGAAGGCACTTGTATGTATCAATTATGCCAGAAGTTGAAAAGGCTAAAGTATCCATTAAAGCAGCTTAACAGAGTACAATTTGCGGACATAGTGGAGAAAGCAAATAGAGAAGAGACGCAACTGGATGTTTTGCAACAAAAACTCAGCCTTGATCCCGGCGATGTTGAGCTGCAGGTTGACGAACGGAAACTGTATAACCAGTATATTGTGTCCAGAAAAGCTTCAAACAGTTTCCTGCAGCAGAAATCTACGGAAACTTGGCTTGGGGAAGGAGATGCCAATACGAAATTTTTTCATGCATCTTTAAAGGTTAAAGCAATAAAAAGTAGAATATGGAGAGTACAAGAGGAGAATGGTAGGGAGATTACTGAACAGAAAGGCATCGAAGAGCATTTCATTTGCTTCTTCAAAGAACTATTAGGGAAGACAAGCAGGAGAGAACCAGCGAAGGAAGAAATGTTTAAGGCTGGGCCTGTACTGTCAGTGGAGCAACAAGTGAGACTTATTCAGCCAATCCAGAGTGTCGAAATCAAAAAAGCCATCTGGGACATGGATGTGAACAAAAGTCCAGGGCCCGATGGCTATGGCTCGGGGTTCTTCAAAGGAGCTTGGAACACAGTGGAGCATGATGTGGTGTCAGCTATCAAGGAGTTCTTCAATACAGGTTAGATACTCAAACAGCTTAACTCAACTCTAATTACTTTGATCCCTAAAGTTGATAATCCTTGTAATGCAAGCCAGTTCAGACCTATATCCTGCTGTAACATTATTTATAAGTGCATTTCGAAAATTTTATGTAATAGAATGAGAAGTATCATGCCTGTCTTAGTAGATGAAAACCAAACAGCTTTTGTAAAAGATAGACTCATTATGCATAATGTACTTATAACCCAGGAGTTGATTAGATTGTATAGGAGGAAAGGGGTTAGTAAGAGAATGATGATGAAAATTGATCTGAAAAAAGCATTTGATACTGTTGAGTGGGGATTCATAGATGATATGCTAGATGGGTATGGATTTCCGGAGGAATTTAGGAAATGGATCATGGCATGTGTATCTCGCCATCGTTTTCGATATCTGTTAATGGCTGCACTGCGGGCTTTTTTGCTGGCAAGCGTGGATTAAGACAAGGAGACCCTGTTTCACCTCTCCTTTTCGTACTAGTAATGGAATACCTTACCCGTAGCCTTAAGAAAGTTGCAGAAACAGGGTTTAGGTATCATCCGATGTGCAAACAACTCAAACTGACTAATATCTGTTTTGCTGATGGTCTAATGCTCTTCTGCAAAGCAAATGTTGAATCTGTGAAGAAGATAATGGGGGTGTTAAGGCATTTTACGGGAACCACAGGTCTTGAGGCAAATGTGCAAAAGTCGGCTATTTACTTCGGGGGGGTTTGTGGGGTGCTGCAGGAGCAAATTGCTGAACTAGTAGAGTTTCCTGTAGGGGTTTTTCCTATGAAGTACCTTGGTGTTACATTGTCACCCAAAAAATGGTCCCAAGTAGAGTGTCAGGGGATCATAAACCATATAACCGCAAGACTTAAGTGCTGGAGCACTCGGCATCTGTCCTACGCCGGCAAATTGGTCTTAGTGAATTCAGTACTTATGTCGATGCATACGTACTGGGGTAGCATGTTTATCTTACCACAGAGTATAACAGGGATGGTGAATAGATTATGTAGAGAGTTTCTCTGGGGGGGTTAAAGAAAATGGTAGAGTAGTTTCCTTGGTGGGATGGGATGAGATTTGTAAGAAAAAGGAAGCTAGTGGATTGGGGATCAGGGATGCCAAACTCTGGAATAAAGCAGCCTTACTGAAGCAAGTGTGGCAGATAGCTTCACAGAAAGATGCGCTGTGGATTAAATGGATTCATGGTGTTTATATCAAAAACGCATCTTTCTAGGAAGCTGAGGCAAAAGGCGATGCCAGTTGGCAATGGAAACAGCTTTTGAAGGTCAGGGATCAGGGGAAACTTGGCTTTGCTGGAAGCAGGTGGCTAGCTTCAAGCAATGGCGAATACACTGTGAAATCAGGGTATGCTTGGTTTATAGGGAATGAGACGAAAGTTAGGGACTTGCGGAGCATCTGGTCACGAATGAATGTATCAAAACACTCGTTCATTGCATGGCTTGCATGGAAAAAGAGGTTGTGGACAAAAGACAGGCTCATCTTAATGCATATGGCCATAAATGATCAATGTTGTCTGCTGTGTAAGCTGCAGCAAGAAACTGTCGAACATCTATTTTTCCAGTGCAGCTTTGCAGCAGAGGTATTGGAGAAACTTGTCAAATGGCTGGGATGCAAGAAAATAGCAGCAAGTGAAGCATGGTGGAGAATGCAAATCCTGAATATGTGGAAAGGGCAGAAGATCAAAAGAAGGCTTCTTTGGGCAGTAATAGCTGCTTGTACATATCACCTATGGGAGGAGAGAAATCGAAGGTATTTCCAGCAACTGGAGAGAAGCCCAGATCAAATCATGCTACTGATCAAAGATGAAATGAGAGGCCGCTTCTTGTACTGTCACAAGATGGAAAACAGAGCAGCAGCAGCAATCTTTGATAGGTACTTTTGATTTCAGCTGTAATATGTAATAGGGTCTTGTATATGTGGTAGTTGGTTCTATAGAGAGTCGTGTTAACAGTGTTTCTCCAAACAAGTTTTTGTAATAGGGGAATTGGAGCTTCTGTAATAGGATATTTTTGCAGCAGCCAAGTAGATAGCAGAGTTGGTTCTTACTAAATTGAGACTGTAAAGAACGATCATGGACCCGTTTTGGTGTGCCTTTCTCTATATATACATTTACCTTTTCACCAAAAAAAAAAATTTCAATTATTTAGTAATTCTCAAATTAGTAAAATTTGATGGTCCCAATACTGTTACACAAACTCGCTGCAATCCTCACAATTATTAAAATTGCCCACAAAAACTTGTATATCGCAAAAAGGAATACTGATTATCACGCTTTTTTTTTAAACCCCACTTAAATGTGGGTAAACCCCCCTACATATCTCTGGTGGGAGTTGAATACGAGTCTAATATCAGGAAGGGCAACATTCTAACTGCTAGACTGTTATTAATTCTCTTGTTATCACGCGTTTTCTTCCTAGTTCATGCAAGTTTAATTGATCTACTGATGCAAATCAAATATACATGTTTATATATATGATTTCACTTCTCGTTTCCTTTAGACTCATTTAGATGTTGTTGAGAACCAATAATACACATTTCTTATGCTTTATTGTTTTATCTTGAGTAGGACGAGCAAATGAGGTTGAAACGGAGCAAAACCTATCAAAAGTGAAGAAAAATTCACTTGTGTTGAACAAGGCGAACAATTAAGATTTGATGATTCATAACTTATGCTAGGAGTCTCCGTTTGGAATGATCAAGATGCCGTTACGAAGCCGAAATTGAGAGCTACGACATGCAAAACACTTCTCCAAATTCAGATTATAAAGGGATAAAAAATGCAGTTGAACCTCTATCGTCAGAACTGATCAACAAATCTGCAGAATTTCAGCAACAATCAGTGAACTTTCAGAGAACATAACATGAGATCCGTTGTTCAGATTTGGATGTTTTATATATAGTTGTGAAGCTGGAAGAAGTAGCTACAATTTATTTTCAGAAGTTGACTCCAAAATCCCATTGAAAGTAGGCGAAAGACTGCACTGAATACGACTACTCACGGCTGGAAATCTGGGTTCCCAGCAAACACTTTGAAGGCAAGTGTCTCAACTTCTTGAATTCGAATTGGAAACTCAAAACACAGACTGAATGAATGCATGATAGTTATAGACGTCATCAGTAGGTGAATTTTGGTGTTGATTTCGTGGGTATTAGCTCACAAATCAGACCCGTGATGGAGATGAAGATTCCGGCGAGAACATTGAACTTCCACGACTTGAGCGCACCCCATTTTTTGCTTCAAAACAGAAAAAAAATCAATGGAGTGTTGAGATCAAGCAAGGAGAAAGGTTTTGGCATAAGCTGGGTTCATTTTCATGAAGGAAGGAAGGAAAACCGAGAGATCCCGGCGACGGTGCCCGGCGGTCGGTAAACTCAAAACGGGAAAGAAGAAGGAAAGTTTCTAAAACTGCTAACTTAATCCCTCCTTCCCCAAGAATTTGCAGTGAAGGTCTGAAGATTTACAAGTGTCAAAGGAGG